TTAACGGAACCGTAAACCCATTTTTTTCGTAGTCGACCAAATAGAACCATCGTCAAATGTTGAGAAATTAGGGGTTGATTAAGCGCGCAGGTCGGGCGTAAACTATATGTTATTGTTATTTTTTCCACTTATATAGCATTTTATGCGGATGAGTTGGTGGCGTGCTCTATAACTGCTGACAAATAGCCGTGTGTTTTCTGCAGAACATTTAGATAGTTTTTCAACTACTGAATACTTTTGAGCTCAGTCTGTCAATACGTTGGATTTTGAAATTTACAAAGTGCCAGCTATTTTGCTTTCCATATAAAAAAATTATATTCCTCACGATTAGGAAGATACTGTCTAATAATCAATTTTTAACGAGTGTAGAGTGTGTTTACGTCATAGGCAGCGCTACTAAACGGGCAGATACGACGCTTGTTAGATGGACATTTCGCAATTTAAAAAATCTCATAATTGCCGCCTGTTAAAATTGAAAAATACCCCTTCTTGAAATATACGAGTTTAATATCAAGCGATCACAAGGAAAATTTGTTTGCATGCTCTATATGTAGAATATATTTAAATGTTGAAAAGCCTAGACAATCAGTAGAAAATATGCGTAAGTAGACGTTTTTCACCGAGTAGACGCTTTTTCACCAAGTATGGTTTTTACAGGCTTTTGACGTTAAGAAAAACAGCCGTACGCAGACACATTTTTAGTCCATGTCATGGCAACAGAACTCCTCTAAGTTTTTTTGACTTGGCTGGCACACACATTTTGCGGTTTCTCATGGCTGCTAACGGCGTCGGGAAACCTAACCTGCAGGTACCCAAATAAACTGTTAATGTGACTTTCTCCTCGACCTATATATATTTCTTTCGCCCCTGGTAACTCTACTTATGTTCTTTTTTCCCCGGTTCAGAGTGGTGGCAAAAACATTCGATTTGTGGTCATGAACAATCTTCTGCCCTCTTCCATCAAAATACACGAAAAGTACGACCTAAAGGGCTCCTCTTACAAAAGAAAGGCTAGTGAACGCGAGCTCGCCAAAAGTTCCCCAACCCTTAAGGATCTGGACTTCAAGTAAGTTTGCATTATTTATGGGCACTGCGCTATCCCTCTTTTTTTTGCAACAGTCATACCGAGAGCGCACTTCGCCTCATATAAAGCATTTGCCTCTTGCTGACTTCAGTCAGTCAGCACCAATTTATCGATATCTCCAGCGGAAATTTATTTAGGCTAAATACGCTTCTACTAGTAGTGTTTGCTCTCCAAGCGTTCTTTACCTACAGGCAAATTCGGTTTCTACCCAGGTGTTTTGACTGTAATGCGTTACCATAGCATAGCAGCCAGAAACACATTGAATTACAAAACTACAGATGAACGATCCGCCTTTCCACCGGATTTCTCATCACATGTTACGCAAGCGTCTTCAGGAGAAAAAAACAGGTGCTCTAACCTTCTTAGTTAGAATGTTATAGATCACCTTCAGCAGACTGCGACAGAGTGAACTCATGAACCGCAAACGATGTGAGGCCCACCACGCGAGCAGTGGTTCCGCATGTAGTGGAAAACCTATTGGCAAAGGAGCCGACTGCGGAACAAGTGTTAGTGTTGTGGTCTGAAGCTTCTTTCAGTACTGATATTCGCCACTCTGCAACAGCACTGCGCTCCCTTTCTTTGGTAATGCTTTTATTCAAAAGCTCTGAGTATCATGGGGTTGAGTCAACGCTTACACATGGGAACGTGCACTTTTGAAGTCGTGCGTCTGCTGACTACTACTTGTACCTGCCTTTCGTGCCATCTCGAACGCTTTTTTCATTGTTGTTGGCTATTTTTTATGATCGAATCCGTTGCATTTGTTTGCCTTGTCCATTTACAGAGAAAGACACCCGGAAGGTATCCTGTTAGAGGCCGACACCTACGATGCCCTGATGAAGACAATCGAACGGGACTGTCGGGTAGGTTGCTTCTCTGTAAATTAGTGCGTTTTTTGTGAGACTTCTTACGTGGTAGTAATTTTTGTTCTGTGAGCTTAGCACTGTTTCGCTTCCCTTATGCTATTTGAATGCGTTTTGGGAAATATGAACTTGTTAAATTGAAAAAAAAACTTTGTTGCGAAATCTCACTCACCTCGTTATAAGGTCATGTGTGGCTCTAGTAAGAGGCTCCGGCGAGCGCTTTAAGTTATTTAAGTTTTGGCTATATCACATACACAGAACGTAATCCATTTCATGGCACCTGCCGGTTCAACATAGTAGACTTCCTTCCTAAGCAACTATTTCAAAGCTATTTATATACGTCTCACCGAATGACCTGTAGGTTTATTGTCTGGTGGCGGCTCTTAGTTTTTGAAATAATGCAACTGACTCAATTGTGATATAGTTTGCGAACTCACTGGCATCAAAAGCCACCGTGCTAACTGCGTGGCTCTAGTACTGCCGTCGGATGATGTATCTGCGATGAAATCCGAAACATCAGCGGAATAAATTATTTGTCCCAGCGATCGCATGTACTGCTTTTCAGAATAAGTATACTTTGGCGGATTTATATTTTCCTGATTTAATACGAAATTATGAGAACTAGATGGTCTCTGTTCTATTTTAAGCTGACGGCAACCCTATTATACAGGCAAACGTATATTTATGCGGATGGTTTCATAGACTTCCGGGATTTAAAAGTGCACAGTTTCCATCCACCCCCTCCCCCCTAATATAGCCTATAGATGTTCCAAGACTGCACTATCCAAGTTCATCACCAAAAATATGGAGTTGGACGTCCTTCCAATGGTACTTTTTTGCCCAACGTGTGCATAGTGACATTTTGGGCACGCAAAAACAAAGAGTGATATCAGCAGTGCAGATTTTTCATTTAGGTGGACATTGATCCTTATAAATTGGCTCCTTTTACCATCTTTCTTGTGCAATAATAGTCTAGTTACAGATTATGACAGGCCACATTTCCCTTAAACACAGAAAATTATCCCCCAGCATCGCCCTTCTAGCCTTGAAATGCAATCGGTTCGTCCTGTAAAACGAACTCCTTTTTTATAAATTTCGTCTGTCTATCAGGACACTAGGCACGAGCAGCGGAAAATTCTTGTTGAACTGAGCGTGGTGTAGTTTCTGTTCTTGCTGCAGCTTTGAAAGTTGCCCTCTGCAGGCAAACGGTAAGATGCCCTGCTTCCCCACCCGCATA